CACGATTTAACAGCAAAGTATTATTAATAGTAACAATAATAGTAATAATAACAACATGCGTTGGCTGATAATAATGGTGAATAATCCAGAGGTCGATAATAATGTGAACAATCCAACGCCCACAGTCTTGAAATTAACATCTTATTAAGCTATCAGATTAAATTTAATGAAGCAAAGAGGAGCTAAAATATCCATTTGCCTCTCAGTGCTCTAATAATGCCATGCCCACGCAATCACTTTCTCACTGTATTCAAGCCAACGTGTTTCCCTTCCCTTCCTTGCCATCATCCTGGATTCTCTCCTCCCACCGCATCGAATATCGTACATGGAGAATTTTGTCTCTGGACACAAATTTTCTGAAATTTTGCTGATAAACTATGCCGCAAAAGATTCAGGCCCAAAATTTGGACAGATATTTCTCGGATGTGCATAAAATTTATCGCTACAGGATTTCACATTTGAGAAACGTATAAGATTGGTGCGGCTTTTCAGCTAATCCCAATAGTTACAACCACACTGAACAGTTCCCACTGCCGTCGCTGCTGCGTTATCAAGGATCATCTGGACAATAACTTGGTGCGCTGCGGAGTGCCCAATCCATTCACCGATAAAACAGTTGATCTTGGCAGACTTCCACTGTAAGCTAAATTCGGAATTGCTTCTCATCGTTAAATAGTTTTTTTTCTAAACAAAGTAGAAAAAAAAGACTTATTTTATTTGATCTCGAACGACATAATGAAGAATCTTTGATGCACCATGATTACTAAAGCTGCCCTGTAAGTAACAATGGGTTTTCCGCATCGAATTGTCAATACAAGCCAAGTGCAGCTATGCCAGGCCCTTCGATTCTGAGCTGTATACTTCCGGTGAGTACCCATCGCCTTTTGTTTTGTGCATCTCCGAGCTGCCATTTACTTTTTTTTGGGTACCACTTACTAATACATGTTTTTCATCAACTGTGTTCGTTATTTTTTGTACTACAGTCGGGAATGCAGTTTTATTTCTTTGTAAAGTGCACAAGGTTTTTAAGAAAAAGCGAGAACGCAGTTGGCACGAAGCGAAAATGTAATTGGCACAATTCTCTTATTATTGCCGAGCTCGATTAACACTTTCCCAGTTTTGTTGCTTCATGGTCAATAGTGCATAGCCATTAAAAAAACGTGGCATTTTCAAATTAGTCCTGCGCAGATGATCATTAAAAGAAAGTGCAGGTTTCATGACACTTCAAACTGTTTCATAAACGAATAATCTACTGACTTTTCAGAGCAACAGCAATCGCACGTAAATATGAAAAAAGTATGCATTTGCATTAAAAAAAATTTGTTAAATAAGCATGAAATCATTTTCAACCGTGTAAGATAAGCAGAATTTTTCGATGAGAGTAAAAATCCAAAAATGAGGTAAGAAAAACATTTACCTAAATTTTCACTGTTTTCCGTTTCTCAAAAAAGGTGAAAATCCAAAACGAGGCAAAAATCGACCATTTCACTTTTTTCCATTTTTCATTTTAGCCTTACTGCTTGAGAGCACAAAAACGTTTCGTCACGCGTTATGCGTGTTTACCAGTCTCTAACAAATAAGTATTAAAGCGCCTTCGACTCGTCACGATACCTTGTTAAAGTAGCGCCCCAGGATCTGCTTCATATCTAGCTTATCCTGGAAACTTTGTTAATCACAGGTAGAGGTGGACATTCGCAGTGAAAAGATTCAGTAAGCGCATAAAACTCCAAAAATACAGACTAGTCTTATCGCCGCAAGCAGAATTGATCGGAACGACATAAAACTGTATAATTATTGAGAAGTAGCTTCTAGATATTTTTATTGATTTTATTTTTACGAAAGTTAGCGAAAAATCGACCTCACCACCAAACAGCACTAAGCACCACCGAAAGCGAATTAATACAATGTATACCTTGGTACTCCGGGCCGATTTGAGGCCTCATCATGGCGTAGAGTATTAGTGCCCAAGACAAGATGGG